ACCCCTAGCTCCTGGCTTTTAGATCTCATTCTACTATGACTTAACCACATTACATGTCATTTTACTGTGCCTCATATCTGCCTTAACAATATGATGTCTTTATCCTCCTGGTTGAATTCACCATGCCACTTAGGTATTGTCTTTTAATGTAAAGAGATTTCTACTTTTCCCACTCTTCTAGATCATTGATGAAATGCTGAGCAACAACAGAACTAACATACAGTCCTGTGTTGCCACATTCATCAAATTATCAACGCACTATTGATTCCCTCTTCTCAGTAAATTATCAATTACCATAAGTATTTATGGCTTCTTAGAAAGTTTTAAAGCCCCTTTGATGAGTGGTCATGCCAAAATCAATGTGAACTTGTTTTTCAGAGAGTACTTTTCATTGCTTTGCTATAATAACGGGATAATAATCTTGCAGTGAATGCAGAACTCACAGCAGTGGCTTACGCAAGCTTCTGAGGTCTGCTAACCTTACTATCTACCTATATATCCTGAGATCACCCTAATTGCATCATATACCCTAGAAGAATACACCATTACGTTTCATAAAAATAATAATGTAGTTTTCCTAGTATTTTTGATGTATCAGTGTGTAACACATGATCATGAGAAGTTTGTTCTGACAGGTTCTTTTATTTTTAGTAACAGACAAATGGAATAATTTAGCTTTTTGGCTTCTTTGTGGCTGAAATAATTTCTCTAGGGCTTAACAAGTATGTTTATCTATATCTATAGATCTTTATAGATTGAGAGATACAGCCTTTAAAGCTTACTATATATGTACAGTATATACAATTTGTAAATGGCTGTATGTTCAGATAGTCAAGATAAACACTAAAACTTCTTTATATGACACTATTATAGTTTTATACAGACACATGCTGTGCTACTCCCTCCCTCTTTTCATAACAGTTGCTGGAAGATAAAGAGAAATATACGATCTGTTATTCTGCAGTTTCAAAGTCCAGGGATCATAGATAGGGCACAGGAGTCTGCTTTTTAGGTTTTAGGGTAACAGAATTGGTTTCAGGTATGGGATGCTGGGTCTTCTAAGTCTGACCATTAAAACAAAGGTCATGTGACTAGGAGGAAAACAGTGTTTACCAACAATGTCTAAAACAGGAAATAGGAGTGATGTGCTTTGTGGTTTGTTCTGTGTGAAACTGAAGAGAGAGTGTGGGATCCTGGCTGGAAATGCAGTAAATCTAAAATTCAGACTCTAAATCTGAGGTCTCAGTGTGTGCTTGGGAACACTCCCACAGTTCAAAGTAGCATGTCATGTAGAAATAAGGTCCTTGGACTCTTCTGGAGAGTGCTCTTCCAAGTCCTTATATGAGTTGTTTTTGCTTTACTTGTTTTATTTCTACTTTTTTAATTGCTATGGTAACTTACTCCATCTTGCTGTCTTCCCGGCTTCTAATCAAGTCTGCCATCTTAGGAATTAGCCAATCTTGGGAGAAAGCCACATCTTAGAGCAAGATTGATTTTTTCCCCACACACCCTCCTCCATTTTTTACTGATCTTTGTTTCTTCTTGTCTTTGATTAGTACTCCTTACCGATGTAAACTGTCACAAAGCCAGGAGATGGTAGTACCTCATATGTTCTCCTTTTGGTTCCTTGCCACTGAAACAGGTGTCTTCCTCCCTGATACAAAATTCTGCTGGTACCAGCTTTGCTTGTTGACCTTGATCCATACGTAGGGCACTCACCTTTCCATTGAACAGTGCTGCCTTACCTTAGATTGTCTGTGATCCCCTGTGCCAGCTGCTTCTTATCTGCCATTACCTGTTCCTTCCCATTTGATCCTTTATAAGCATTGCCCGACTGTGCCCCACTATGCTATTCTCCTGTACCTGTTTAATGTCTCTTCTTCTTCCACGTGGATCTAAGTTGCCTGGAGCCTAGAATCTTGCTGCTTTTTCTTATTAGCTTACATTTGACTTTGATGGAGGAAGCTTGTTTTGAGAATTAGCCGCTTCACTGTAACTACAGATCCAGCCAAGGGTGCAGTTCTGGTCTGTATAGGGACCAAGATTTTTGCCACTGCTGTTGTGGCATATTACCTGCAAGAGTCTTGCTTTGTTTGTTTGTTTAATTACAGCATTACCCCAGTCTGAGAACTAATTTATCAAGCAGAGCTGCCTGCAGGCACTACAGTACCAGTTGCTGATAGCCCCAGAGATGCTGGCTGTTTGTAATTATGTGACAAGTAGACTTAAATTGTTTTTAATTGTGCTCTATGGCATAATATATGTATATATTTCTTTACTCTGAACGTCTGATATTTTAATAAAGGAGCATAACTATTCAGCCTTTTGCAGTATAGCAAGGGAGAAGCACGTGCAGCTCTCTCCTTTACAGAATTGCAGAGGACCCAGTCTCTGGAATGACAGGTAGATAAGCAGAGTTTGTGGAGACTTTTTACATTTGAGGAATTCCCTCTTTTTTTCCCCCCTAGAATAACTGATTAGCAACCACATCTGGAAAAGCTCCTTTTGGGCAAACAGAAACTCAGATACCAGTGTAAGGACCATGCTGATGGCAGCAAGTCGCTTATCCTCTGGTGACTGTCTCAGGGTGTCTGTAGGAATAAAGGCAGGGTCTTCATGGAACCTTCTGGAACAGGTTACCCAAGGAAGTTGTGGATGCCCCCTCACTGGAAGTGTTTAAGACCAGGCTGGATGAGGCTTTGAGCAACCTGATCTAGTGGAGGGTGTCCCTGCTGAAGGCGGGGGGATTGGAACTGGATGATCTTTGAGGTCCCTTCCAATCCAAACCATTCTATGATTCTATGATTCATTTGGTTTCTGATTTTCAGATTCCTCATTCAAGCTTTCTTTGAAAGCTAGAAGGGAAGTGATATTGCTACTTACATGAAAAACTCCAGTTCTGGTGCTAGGTGAGAAGGAAAGTTGAGGTGTTACTGGCAATGCGTGAGCTGTTAAGCCATCCAGCTATTTACCAGGGTGGCTGTTCCCGTAAGAGCCACGCAAACTTGTGTACCCATGGTGCTTGTACAGTCCCCAAAGGCACGTTGCGCCATGAAGGTAACTGCATGGAGGCTTTGACTTTCAGTTGGCAACATGCCCTTTCCCATGGAGAGCTGCAGCTGAGCCTGTAACACACCCAGGTGGACTTCCAAGGGCAGCTCTTGAGGAAGCTGTGTTATCTTTGTTATTGTACTGTGGTGTGAACGACAAAGTCTGAAGTGCAGTGACCAGCTGAATATGCTTTGTGCCTGACTTCATGCTCTTGCTCTGTCATCTCTACACGTTCCCCACAGAAGCAGAGCAGCAGTATCGCTCTTGTAGGCGTGCTGTTCTGCTTAGCTAAAGCTGGAAGGGGGAGATGTTTATAGAACATAGGAAAAAATACTCCTGTTTGATATTTTAAACCTTGAGTTGTTCACATTTTGCTTTCAGTTGCGTTCTGTACAGGGAGTTTTCCGTTGCACGCTGCAGGCTGTTGGGGTGGGTTATGCTTGCTGAGGTATGAGCCCATTTGTGTTGGTGGATTTTCTTAAAACTATGTATTTTTAGCAAGGTATTTGTGGGAAGGTTTAGCCAGACTCAACAGAAACAGAAAAATCTTGCAGCATGAGTCAAGTCCCTTTCAGTGTTCTCCATCCACTTTGGTCAGACCCTGTTTCCTATGGTTGCTGGCATTGTGGCTATGGAAGAGCTCCCACTATTAGTGAACTTTTTTGATTACTTTCATTCTCTCACACTGGTTAGCAGCCCAGCTTTGTTAAGAGCTGGTGCTTCTCCACTTCACAGAGCTAAATTGCGCTAGGCTAGCACCCGGGTTGTCACAGTCTCAGGGTCGTGAGGACCGATAGCGTTGGCATTATGAGCTTTACTGCTCTTCCATGGTTAAACTCTCAAACTGAATGAGTCCTCTGGCAGAAATTCCAGGTCATTAAACCAGCAAGTGCTCCTTGCAATCCTTTTTTGTAACTCCACTCAGACTTGATCAAGTTTGAAGTTACCCTGCTCATTCTAAAGAGCTATCTGCTTTGAAATATTGGAGATGGGTGCATCAGGAGGTATGGACGCCTCTCATGTCAGAACACCAGAATTTTCAGTAGTTCCAGGGAAAAAAAACAAACAGCTGCACTGGATGCATGAGGGACACGGGTGCAACCATGTTTCATCTGCAACTCTAACCTGAAATGTCACTGGCTTAGGAAAAATTGTCATTTCTTAATGACTAGTGGTTTACATTAATAGCATCTTGATTCAGACAATGAACACAGAATGCTGAATATCCTGAGTCAAATCTCAGTCTGACCCTAAATAGCCCATCTGTAACACCAGTGAACATCAGGTACCAGAGTTTGAGCAAGTAGAGAACAAGCTCTCTGCTTGTTATCCTTTGACTTAAGGAATTCCTAACCCAAAAGCTGCATCTTCGTACCGTTTATTAGCCACTTATAAACTCATTTGTTTAATATCTTTGAAACCATGTCTTACTACAGCAGAGAATTCTGCAATTTTTAGAAATGTTGAGTGAAAAAGTAGTGGGGTTTTTTTCTTAAAGCTGCTCATCACTGGAATACTGTTTTCTCTATAAAATTGTACTTCAGCTGACATAAATATCTAAGTTGTCTTACTACCAAGGAGTGTCTACCTGATGGCAAGTTCCTCCTAGATTGTGTTATCAGTTCACAGCAAAAAGCAGCTTTGCAATCCTTTCAGTCATATATGTTGAATTACTCACTTGAATGAAAAATACACCCAGCACCTCTTACTCATTTTATATTGTCCCCACCATTTTATTTTCTCACAGACTTTGGTCTTTACATGATAGTGCTGCTATAATTGTCTTCCAGGAGCAATATATATAAAATGACATACTAGGCCATCAATTAGACGTAGTTAAAAAGAAAAAAAAAAAAAGAGTGTTGTTTGTAAGGGTTTTTTTTTCACTCTGCAAATTTGCATTTTTCTCTCACTTTTTCATCTGTCTCCTCCTTGCAGCATTAGCCACTATGTGCTGGTGATGACCTTGACCATATTTATGATGCTGATGAATGGACTGGCCCAGCTGCTAACCACAACGAGACTTGAACTTCCCAGAAGGACTAAGCACCATTCCACGTGATAAATCTTCTTGCCTTGTTCCTGTCTTCAGGCTTCCTCTGAACCAACCTCCACCTCTGGAATGTAAATATAAGTTAACAGACTAGAGTGCCAAAATCCCATCCAGGGATCAGAGTGCTCTGCTGATACAGGTTAAATGCTGTCCTGTGACTGCAATTTGCATTTGCAGATTGCCATTTTGACATCAGTGAAGCTAAAAAAGCCTCAGCTTTATTCTCCAAGTGTACATATTTATTGAAAATAAAGACATCAATAATGTCCTTTTTAAAAGAAATAGGCAACCATCTTTTGGGGGTTTTTTTGTTATTATAACTTGTCTGACAGTAGTTTGTCTCACACAGGCTGACGCTTATTAGTAGTCTGCAAAGTCCTAGCTTCATTTCATGTCTCTCATAAGCATCTCACAGACTAAAGCATAAATGAAATCAGTCTGGGCAGATCGCTGATTTGTAGGTTGCCGATGTGGCACACATTTGAATATCTCTGAAACTGTCTGTGCTTTTTGCAAGCTGTGTCAATGTGCGTGTGAAAATATGTTGGGGCAGGTTAAGACTGGTACACTGTGAGGCTGTTCCTTGTAAGACGACAGATTTTAGCTAACCTTGATGTGAACTGCTGCTGCTGACCATGCTCTCCTGCTGCCTCCTGTGCTTGGGTGAGCTGAGCAGTATGCCAGCTCAGGTTATTGATCCAAATGAAAATGAACCTGATTAAAGAAGGGTAAAATAGTATTCAGACAGATTACCTGGTCCAGCTCGTGATGGGGTGGGCAGGCTGATTGTTTCAGTGGCAGCTCAAGAGTTAGATCAGTATGAAGAGGTCATGAAGCTGCAGTTGGAGTTGGTGGTTTGCATAGTGTGATGCCACACGGAGACTGTTTTCCTTTCTTTCCTTGTTTACCTTTCCACTTGTGTTCTGCTCCTGATTACACGCGTCAGCCTGGGTAATGGCTGCACCAGGAATCAAACACAGACACGAATCCCCTGGTTATAGCTGATTACAAGTGAGAGCAAAGAGCCAGGGTACTGAGAAGCTCTGCTGCTACGGATGCTCCTGAGGACCCAGTAACTGTAAATACATTGCCTGAGGCTTTGAGATAGACTTCATAGCCTTTTCAACAGCAAGCATCAGCTTCCCTACCACTAGCCCACAGCTGATTAAGTAGCACAAACTACACTACCTACCTACACCTCAATGCTTTTTCACTCCCTGAAGTCATCTGTTGCAAGAATTAAACAAAAATTCTATCTCCTGAAGCAAAAATTGTATCTCCTGCTCAGCAGGAGGCCTTCACAGAGCTAGGTGTCCTGCCTTTGAAACAGGTTTTTCCATCCACACCATCCATAAAAGGGCTTTTGAAGCAGATCCCATTGCACAGTGAAGGAAGTGAATGAAAGAAAAAACTTTTTTCTTTCTGTGCTATAGTATGATGGCATCACTGAAGAATGTGCTATGTAATATCCCTATGCCACACTCCCAACTTGCAGCCAGGCCTTCCTATCTGGGAGTTGATACCTGTGGTACATGATGCTGGCAGCCAAGGCTAGGCATTCATCATGAGGGCTGCTCCAATACTCTTTCCAGCCATCTGGCATTTGGCTGTAGTCACATGTCTGTTTAACGCTGTGGAAACTAGTCATCCCCCTGCAGGAAGTTTGGCTGGGAGAAACCAGTCACAGACCTCCATCTGCTTGTTGAGTGCTAGAAAAATATCATATCACGGGCCTGCAGTTATTTGTGCCGCTTCAGAGTGCCTCTTGAGAGCGTCTGAGCACTGGAGAGGGAGTCCTTTTCTCACTAGGTAGTGGTCTGGTGGTCTTACTGGGCACGTTGCTAGCACAGCTAGCCTTGGTCACAGGAGATATTTCACGTTTGTTACATACTGTTCCCACAGACTTGCATGTGGGAAGGTGGGCATGTGCCCACTGCTGGTAGTTGTACCATACAGCCAAGGCAAGGAGCAACCACGAGCAGGTGAGAAGTTGCTGCCACAGCAAAGACTGTGGGTAAGCATGGGAATCTGCCACACCTGTTCTCCTTAGATCCAGTGAGTCTCTGCTATAGAGAGCTATCCCCACCTCAGCCCCAGTCTACAAGGTGCACAGTATCATTGCAGGGTTCTGTATCATCAGCTTTGTGTGACCTAGCTGGTGTCTTGAGACAGCTCTGTCTACAGCACTGTCACTTCAGTACACACAGCTATAGGCAGCTGTACCATTGATCATCCCAGCCTCCGGTGTTGGAGTGATTTCTTTGTGAAACTACTGTTTGCAGAGCAAATTCACTGATAGGAGCAGCTGAACAGCTGGTGTTGGTGGTGATGTGAAGGAATTGACTGACAAAATTAGGAAGGTGGGACCCACAGGGCTGCCACTCTGAAGGCACATCTTCTGCAAGCATGTCAAAACTGCTTGTTATCTATTACAAGACTGAGTGGATGTCCTACCTACCAAGTAAAAACCGTGGAGGTACTGTCTGGTGCCACAAGCTCCCCGGGAGAATGCAGAGGAGCCCAGGCCTGATGTCTTTTCTTACACAGCGGGCTGGTAATAAAACAGTGTCTCGGCCCACTGCATCTGGTGCTGCTCATCTGTGGCAGGCGGAATAATCTATATACTCAGGTATGCAGGCAAGTGGAAATTGCTGTCCAAAGTAGGACCTACATCAGTTACTCTTTCTGCTTATGGCTTCCATAGTGTCTGTTTTCACAAAGCAGGTTTTGGTTTTTACATCCATTCTTGTAAGAGCAGAGAGGGGACGATGAGCATGGGGAAACATTTGCAACACATGCATTGGTTTTTCCCCGGTGCTGCTCTGCAGGGGTTTGTTCTTGTTTGCCACTTGCTCTGGTTGGGCCGTGGTGGTAGCAACCTTAGATGACCTTTCCCTTTCTCCTGCTGGTCCCTTGCATCTCTGTGCCATTTGTGAATTCAGTTTCTAGCCGAGGCTGGAGGAGTGCTGGAGAGCAGCTCTCGTGGAGAGGCAGGATTGGCTGTGCTATTCCCGTGTCTCTCCAGGGGAGGTTCTTGATGGAGTCTTGGCCCAAATTTTTGGGTTTACTCCAGCACAGGGAGGTGTCAAAAATTCTCCCACTCAGCTACTTTACAGAGCCCCATGGGGTGTGTGACAAAGTCGACTCTTCCCTCCCACAAATGTGTGTTCATCTCCTTTCCAGAAACAAATGTCATCAGCAATAAAAAGTCCTCCCCAAAACTAGGAGCTAAGGTAGGGAATCAAATTCTGTACTCAGCTGAGTGTAGGCTTTCTTTTCCTCTACTTGTGGGTCTTCGAGCATCATCCCTCCTCATGGGCCCCAGACAAGACTCGAGCCACAGAAAGTGGGACTCTGAGCCAGCAGAGCCTTGCAGGCCAGTGGAGGTATCACCCAGCCCCTGTGTTTTCTGCTAAGGGCATGAAGGGAGAATGACCCCCAGCCCTCCTGCCTTCCTACTTTCACCTGCAGCAGAGTTGCAGACTCTCTGACTCCTGGAGCAGGTGAGGCTTCAGACAGTGAAAACCTGAGGCAGGGAAAGGCAGGTAGGTCAACATTGTTATTTATGCCTGGGGCTGCACAGATTTTTTTAACTATACTCATAGTGTAAAAACCTCTGCAAAGCTTATATTTTCTTGCTTTTAGAGCCATGAACCCCTGAAGAGCTAACCATAAACCTGGAGTGCCCATCAGGTGGTGTAATGTGAGAAAAGCTGTTCTGAAGAGCAGCTGATACAAAGATCTTGTAATCTTCAGTGCTAGGAATTGTTCTCTGGTATTGTGTTATCAAGGCTGTACACAGCAGCCTTTTGATATCTGTCCAGGGAGTGAGATGATGAAGCTTAGATTGTATCAAGACCTCTTATGACTCAAACGAAATTACTTCCACTTCCTCCTCACAACGTAAATCAGATTTTAAAAGCTTTGGCAATTTTGATGCATGTCATGGCTGTTGGTTGTAAGGCTGCTACAGCCTCCGCATTCTTGAATGAGAACAAAGATATGAATGAACATTCATGGTCTCACACAAACTTTGCTGTCTAGCATCACCCTTGAACTGTGGTGTCTGGTTTGGCCAAGCCATGACACAGATGTCATTTCAGCTCCTACCACCCCAGCTAATTTGTGAGGGTGCAATGCTAATTGCTTTTCAAAATTGTCCACATGAATCCTGTAGTCCCTTTTGCTATGTCTTTGAGGTGCTGAGGGTATTTTTCTCGGATGCCTTTGTCAAAGAGGATGAGAGCATAGAGGGTGCCAGGCTTGCTGCTGCATCCTGATAGATGTGGGATGCTGTGAGCACAACTCAGCTGAAAAGAATATTTTGGAGAGCTACAGTTGTGGTGAGGAAGGGAGAACATCGCTGTCTTGCACCTGCTCTAGGGTGTGCTCTGTGTCACAGTGGTGGGACAACTCCAGGTGCTCCCTTCTCCATCATTACGTGGCTTCATCCAGCCTGAAGGCAAGAAACTTTGACTTTCTTCTCCTGTGTGTTGTCTTGCTTGGTGTGGTGCCATGGCTGAGGAAGGTTTGGGAACCTATCTTGCACCTGATGTGCAGGGCTGAATCCAGTTCATTGGATTAAAGAGGCTCTGAATTCAGCTGCTTTCTGCAAGGGCTCCCTTCTTGCCCCAGAGTAGGGCACAGCATTTTAGTATTTGAGAAGGACTAAAAAGGGGAAGGAGAAGGCTGAAAGCATGGCACTCATCCCCTTCCTGTGACCTTTGAAATCAAGCTTGTCGATGTTTTCTTTATTTGTTTATTTATTGACTTATGCTCAGCAGCAAGCTTCATAACTTTCTGACTTTGAAGATGGATAGTATCAAGTGGAAATAGACCTTGTTTTGTTTGCATTTTATTTTCCATGTGAGTTGTAAGAGCAAATACCTTTTTATTTTCTTTTTATTTCCTTTAATGTTACCTAAGGTGAAGCTGACATAGAGATTTACCTTTCACTCAGGTCAGTACCGCTGACAAACCTGTTAATCGCAGGATATCGTCCAGGGTGT